TTTGAGGGATGCCTGGGGGAAAATGCTGTCCTGGGGATGTCGCTTTATCTGGGAGTGCTGTGATCCTGAGCACTGTGGGGAAAGCAGACAGGATCATCCTGGGAAGGTCTGTTGGAGGGTGAGGAGTCCCCTGAGAATCATACACAAAATCAGGTTTTGAAGCCCCCATGGTTCACCTCAAATACGTGGTATGTGTCATTTCAGACTCTGAAGTCTCCTTGAAATTCTCCTACAGTCAGTGGAGGGAGTGACTCAGAGTAGGATTTACTCCAGAACACATTGATGCAATGTTTTCATCTTCATTTCAGAAAGTATTGCTGAGGGTGAGGATTTTTTTTTTAATAGGAATAAGCTAATTCCTCAGAGAAAAATAAATACACTCTGACCACTGTGGGCTCTTCCTGCACATCCCAGAGATGTGGTGAGAGAGGTGGAATTCCCCCTGGAGAATAGGGCATGCTCATATTCCCCTTTCTGGTGAACTGGCTCTGTGCCACTGCCACAGGACATGCAGCTGATATCCTTTGTGCTGTCAGAAAAAGACAAAGAAAGCAAATAAACCAAATCAACCTCCTTAACACACATGTGTTTTCCTTGGCATGTCATGAATCTTATTGAGAGTATGGCAAATATTTGTCTAAAGTTAAGAAGATTACTGAGGGAAATTGTGACTTTGAAACTCACTGCAGCAGGAGCCAGAATACATCACCCTGATACAGGCACCTCGAGGTTATCTCTGTTCCTGGAGTGGGACATGCACATCTCTCTGCAGCTCTGAACCCTTGGGAAGAGGCTTTCAGTCAAGTAATACATGCACCTGCATGAAATTTTTAAATCACTGACTCTATCCTTGATTAAAGTGCTTTTCCTTGATTAAAAATAGCCTTTTTCCAAATGAGTAACGTTGCATGGCAGGCTGTGCACGCAGGATAACATTATCACACTGATGACATTGCCATTTCTTAACCAGGTCTCTGTGTGACACATTTCTCTCGTGTAGACAGCCATCTGTAGCCAAGGCCATTAGGAAGCTCCCCACAAAAATCCTCCTTCTCTTCCCAGGTGAGGAAGACTACAGAGGTGTTTCTAACATTATCTGCTAACTAGGAGGATAATGGGCATCGTGAAAATGTATCTAAACACTTTTATAGATTCTTGCCTGGATTCAAATCAGGTTGTAAATAGCAGTTCCCCAAGTCTTTGGCAGGACTTCTTACCCCAGTGGATATTCCTTCAAGTATCTCCTTTATAATGTGCTCACTTTCCAAGAATTTTATCTCAGTTGGAGCCAAACTGGAAGTCTGTCAAATCTGAGCTCTTCAGAGTGCAATCTACATATTTCACCGAATGGCAAACGTGTTTTCTATGCAACTGTCATTCTGCTTGTGGGCTTACTTGTCTTTTATATTTTCAAAAGCAAATTTCTTAAGATTCCTTTCATATTTAGTCTTTTTTCTTATCAGAATTTTTAGAAACTGGGGTTTGCAGAGTTTATTTTAGCAAAGCACTTAAACATGTATGCTTAAGGATTTTACTTAACCTTTATATGTTTTCACAAAATTCTCTTCATCTAAGTGCTAAATAGAGTGCAGTTATTCATATGTCCATGTAAAGTGTGAGGTTCAGGTCATTCCCCAAAGCACAACAATAAAATTGAAAAAATACTTGCAGTCACTATGACAAAGAGTCGACATGAGGGGAAAAAAACACCACTCTCTAAAACACAGGTTTGATAAACTGAGATTTCCAATGGAATATATGCTTTGCAGCAATATCAGCAGCTGTAAGGTAGCAGCATATTTCATACAGAAGCAGTAAAACAATTGGAGAAGGATTTTCCAGTAGATACTTAAAAAATTGTCTCATATAAAATGCAGATAATTTAGGCTTTTTTCCCATCTCCTTAAATAATCCAGATTTAATGCAGCAAGTAAAACTCACCCCAAAATCAGGGATTTCTGATTCATGCAAATGCAGATATCTGTATGATATAGAATCATAAGCAAAGTCAGCAGATGAGAAAATTATAGGATGTGGGTTTTTTCTGCAGTGTTCACTGTAAATTAGAGCAATTAAATTACAGCAGTTTTGTAGCAGTAATTAAATATGGAGACGAGCCCAGAGATGTGGAAAGCACTGAACTGCCTGAGCTGCTCAGGCTGTGAGGGGGAGCAGTGGGAAAGGGGCTTGGAAAAGGATCCTGGTCCCACAGCAGCTGGTGGGGGCAGAGGGGCCTCCAGCACTGAATTAACACCAAGTCCGGTGGGTCTTTTATGTGGTCAAGGGGGACCCTGCTGGGCTTGTTCTCTGCCTTGGTTTTGCCCCTCCTGGGCTGTGAGCAGAGCAGGGGTGATGCTCAGCTGGGAGGGAAGCCCAGGGCTGGGAGCTGCTGCAATGATTCCCCCCAAGGATTTTCCCCAGGTAGGAAGAACAGGATGTGTAAGGCCATGTCATTCCAGCATCCCTGAGAAACTGCTTCATGAAACTGCTGTGTTTTATCCATTATTCTTTCATTTTACACTGCAAGTCAAGTCGAGACTTGGGGCTCAACTGAAGGCAAATGGGATGGAGACAGAAGGCTGAGATGACAGAGGAGGGCACCTACCAGAAAGCTTCCATTCCTTCCAGCAAGACAGCAGAGACTGAGGAAAGGCTGGAGCATAGCAGGAGGTGCAGATAATAGCAGTAAACGCTGCATTTAATCACATTGTGCAGTGGGGTGGAAATGAAGTCTTACTCTGAGGTTATAAGTGAAATACAAAGAGAAGTGAAAGGAAAGAAAGCACTGGAGGAAAAGAGCAAGGAGGTCAAAACCAGGGGGAACAGGGCAAAGGAAGCAATTCAGGAGTTAAGTTGATTCGGGAGTTAAGTTGTAAAAGCAGTACCAGAGGAGGCTTAGATGCCTGGAAGTCATCACCAGGACCAGGAGGCTTCCAGTATCACCACAGAGCTGAGGAGCTGCAGCCAGTTCAGCCCTGGAGTTTTCTCCCATGGGGTGGATGCTCCACCACAGCTGCAGTGCAAGAAGAGGAGCAAGGGTGTGCTCTGGAGTGTATTGGTCACACAAATCTGCTGCCACAAGGGAGCTGGGGGAAGCAAGGTGTGTAGCAGCAGCTCTGGGATCAGGTTTGGCACCAGCCTCTGGAAAAGAGCTGCTACTGAGAAGAAATTAGATTTTCAGCCTCCTCATGGTTCATGTGTTAATCTGATGTTGAGCTATCACTCTGAATATTTCACCACAGTGTAGGATTTAAGTATAGAAAAGATGCCTGGATATCCCAAGGTGTGTTGGTAATAATGAACACCAGCAGCTGGGTAATGCCTAATCTTTGATTCAAACCATTGGCAAAAATTAATTCTTTTTTCTTTTTTTTTGTTAGCTGCTGGTTTTGATATTACTATATTTTATAATTGCTGAAGCAGCTGAGTTTTGTTATGTTGCTGCAGTTTTGTGTAATTACTCTCCATCACTATAATTTTTCTTTTAGTTAAATGCATTGGAGCTTATAAACTTAACTATCAACTATAAATATTCACGGGGAGTGAGAATAGTTCTAACTATCATAAAAGCTTTTTTCCCAATAATTTTGGCTAGTGCTCTGTATTTACACAGGTTGCTTTTCTAATGGTGTTATGGCATAAGTAGAAAAAAAAGTAATATACATATCACTTCAAGCAACAGCCAGTCATAGACCCAGGTCTTCTATAGTCTGATGTGCTGAGAATTTTGGGCTTCTCCACGAAGGGCAAGAAGGAGAGGTCCCCCAATGTGAATGTGCTATAAAACAATATTGTGTTTCCCTTAAGAATTGCAGTGATAAAAACATAGACCATTCTGCAGCACTAGCAACTTTAATAAAATAACATAAAGCACAGCTGTCAGGTCTGCCAGCATCTCACACTGGGAGACATGAGTGAGAAAATGAACACTTTTCACAAGCAGAAATATTCAAAGAGCTCCACTGTTTACGTGTAATCAAGACTGACAGTCATAGATTATCGGTGGAAGAGCATTTTCTGCTTGAGGTGAAAGAAGAGGATAATTTATCAGGAAGCCCAAGAAGTCAGACATCAGTAATGATCTGCTTGAAGAAGGGCATATCTTAGAAATAGTGCATTTATTTGTACTGCAAGGCAAGAAGATGTTTGGAGTTATAAACACGAGTCCTGGTGCTTGAAGGATGTTGAGCAGATACAGTGTGTAATTTTCTGGGCAACTGCGATTAGAGAACTGACTAATGTGTGCCTCGGTGCTTGTTCAGAATATTAAAAGAAAAATTTAGCATAATAGAGATTGTCTAAAAGAGCTGCTCATGCGCTCTCATCCTGATCCCTCCTTTTGGAGTTATCCAAGCTATGCTGAGGGGGTTGCTCACCTTCCTGTGGATGCTTAGGACAAGGGCAGCTCTCCCTTGCCTCCAGCTTTTGCTGCTGTACCTCCTGCCAGTGTGAGGATAAAAAAACACTGCTTTTTTTTTCAGAAAACAGCTCACACCTCAGTCAGGTTTACCACCACTTGCTTTGTCCTGGTGCATCCTCTTGTGAAGTGTGAGCATTCCCAGTCCATAGAAAGCACAGGATGATGGATGCTCTTTCCAATAACTGATTGCCAGGTCAGCTGTGGTGCCCACACAGCCCGTGGGTGTGTGCAGAGGGTGAGAGCAGACACGTGGACACAGGGCATGTGCTGATAGTGTGTACACTGCACCGGTCCCTGGCTTCTAAATCTTTCTCTCTAATCCCGTGGCATTATTACAAGATGGATTTATAACATACTTAGTGTTAATGTAACAATGAAGATTAGTCTTCTCCGAGTCGAACAGTAATACACTTCAATTTGCCTACAGCTACTGCATTGTATTGGCATGAAAGGAAATGGCTTTCTAATGCAGCTTCATCTGCTGAGCAGGGGGAAATCTGTGCTGCAGAGTGCAAAAGTACATGGGACTATAGCTGGCAGCAAAATTCAGAGTAGGAGAAACATAGAACAAATAGAAGTATTTGTGAGGTGGAGGTATGCTAACAATCCTAGTTTATTGCTAAACATTCCATGTACAGTAATGCACCTTGCTTGGCAGGTTCATGTTGTCTTCATCTTTGTTTTTTCACCACTTCATCTTCTATACTAAAAGTTGTCCTGGAACAAAAGGTGTAAGTTCATTAGTTTTCAAATTTATTTTTTTTTTGGTGGCGTTAACACAAAGTTGATGTTATGAAGTTCCTTAGAAGCACTGGTGCTGTTAATGCAGTCTGTGCTGTGCCCTAAACCTAGAACCACTGGAATCTCAATACTTAATTTGTTAAGTAAATGTTTCTGCTGTCTGGTGTAAATGCTGCCTTCACTTGACAAGTGTCAGGCGTTCTTTGTATGGACATGTGCACAAATAGTCACTCAAGTGCCAATATTTACCCTTATATGGAACTCCTCTCTTCAGGAAAGCAGCAAAGCCGTCAGCTTCTCCCTTCTTCTTGAGTGACAAAGGCAGAAATTATCATGTCTGGGACCATATCACATAATAGTTACTGCATATGGGATAGAGCAAATTTTTGTGAGCTTAGTGTGCAAGTTGGACACAAAAATTATATGTTTCATATACTTTTTTTTTTCCCCCAAGAAATCAATAAAATATAATTATGCTTAAAATAACAGATTTTGTTTCTAGACCCGGGATGTCTTGCTTTCAACAATGGCAGGGAAGGATTAATAACTTACATGCAGAGAAGGAATAAAAAAAAATATAAACTGCTGGTGGGAAACAGTTGTAACAGGGCCTTGTTATCACAATAGGTCTTTGATAGGAAAGGTGGTGCCATGGGCAGAGGAAAAGACAGAGAGAAAAATTTACAGGAAATAGTGTCAAGGTGTCCAGCTCGCTCCACTGGTGTGGTGGGTGCTTCAAAGTACCCGAGTGTTTTCCTATTGTTTTACCTGCCAGCTTTTCATCACAGACTGACAAGGTGTCAGACCATGAGCCCACAGAGCTGAGCCTGTCACTGCCTGTCACTCTCCCTGGCACTTGGTGTTGTCCTTGTAAATGCAGCAGAGCCAGTTAACCACTGTCACCACTCTAAACCAGCAACCTTCACCCTTCCTCTCTTCATCACCAGGTCCATCCATCCTGAAGACACATGGAATAGTTGGATCGATTGCTCTAAATTTGACATTAAAACTGAAAAAAAACCAAAACAACCTGACTTTTTTTTTCTTTTCTCCCTCAAAAAGTTGCAGCGACACGACAAAGATGATTCCCCTGACAAGTGGAGGACAGAAGAAGAAATGGCAGCTGAAGCAGAAATTCTGAAGAAGTATTTCCAGGAAAATTAGAGGTATGATTTGAACATTGACTTACTCCTGCAACACTCAAAATTCTTCTCAAGCCTCCAGAGGCTGCTTGAGGACAACAGGGCAAATATCTAGAATGAAACAAAGGAAACCAAAGCTCTTAGTTTTGTGTTGTTTCCAAAAGGACACAGCACTCCAACAGTGGCTGAAATAACATGCTCCTTCTTGAACAAATCAGCACCATGCTAGAGCATTTTCTTTCCAGACAGCAAAAACAATGCTGAATCTAGAAATGAGAATCATCAGAATTTACTTAAGAGGAGTCTTTAAACTAACACGTTCTCCCTCTGTTTTTAGGACAGAAAATAGCCCTGGTAGCTCTGCACAGATCTAAGTGTGTCTGTGTACAACCACATATGCATATGCACCTATACATACAAAATTGCATTAGAATTCAGATTATAGAGTGGAAAAGCAAATACTAACTTCACCTGTCAAGTGTTAAATGATTTGATCAGTTCAACTTCTGAAACTAAGCCTGCTGGAAAACTGCCTGTTCTGCTAAATTTTCCACTGGCCTTAAAGGAAAAAACAAAAAAGATTTGTGGGGAGGAATAGAAAAGAAAAAACACTTGGAAAACACTAACATTGGTCCTGTGGAAATTGAGAGTTTTTCCTTTTGTACCTGGAGTCCCAGGAGCCAGATTCTTCCAGCAGAAATGAACTGCCCCCCTGAGATCAATGTGAGTTAGGCTGGGATTTAACACTGCAGCAAGGATGCCAAAGCTCCCTCTCCCCTGCTCCCCATATGCTGTTTGCCATCATGCAGCACTCTCACTTCTCTGTCATTTCTGACTGTTTCATGTTTTTCCTCTGAAGAACCAAAATCCCAGAAATAACCCTCCTCTCTCTGTGTGACTCACTGCTTGCAGCCCAGCTGGAGAAGTCTTGAGCTAAACTGCACATTGTATGGGTGGCACATTTACGTGGCAGTTCTCATCTCCTGTGCCATCCTGCCATTTGGATGGCATTTTGGATGACTCCATTTGGAGTTCATCAGACTTCCCTTTTTTCTTGCATCGTGACCATGCTCTTGTCTTCTCCAGCCAAAGTAGCTGTGCCAACCCTTCAGTGGATGGGCACAGAAAAAGCCATGGAACACATGTAATTCCCATCTGTGAAGGAAATTTCTCCCCAGCACCTGGGACCTCCATGGTTTGGAGCAGCAGGGTTTGGGCTACAAAGCCACATTTCTGCAGTGGCTGCTGGAGGTGCATTTAGACACCCACTTTTCACCTTCTTAGAAATATGCTGCTCAAAAGGGAATTACTCAGCCAGGAAGATCATATCCTTGGTAATGCACGTGTAAGCACTTCTCTCTAACAGAGGCATTATGTGGTGCTTCATCTATGGCCTAGCAACCAATGAATAGTACTTAGGGGAAAATGGCACATCCCTATTCCAGTGTGATATTGTTTCCCTTTATTGATTTGGTAGGTTTTGGGGGGATTATTTTCTTTTTTGTCTCTTCAGAAATGAATTAGAAATGCATTTTTTTCCCTAGAGATTCTCAAAGGAGTTGGAATTAAATCCCCACATATCAATAAAATGTTCTTTATCTCTTCTGATCCTAAACACAAAGCTGAATAGATGGTATAAATCCTTCCCTGAAATCAAATTTGTGTGGCTGGACATCTATTTCCAACTATTATGAAAATGAGTCAGCAAGTGTCTGCATGGATGACCTCTTGATACGTTTCCCGTGACATTAAGGTCATTACCTTTCCTAGAACAAACTGGTAAATTAAATCTTCCTGGCATCATTATCATGAGAGTGCCTAGTACAGGCAGTCCTTCCAACCCTTGATTCCAACATTAGGCATCACTGTCAATCTCTTTTCCCCAACATTATTTTGCTTCTGAGGTTTAAGGCTCTGAACCTGAGATAAAGGAGTATCTCTGCACCTTCTGCATTTCTCAGCCTTCATCTAGCCTTGTCTAGCCTTGCTTCTAAAGTGATGAAGATTGAAAACTTTTGGCAAATTAACAAGGTTATATGCATCCTTCTTTGAAGCTATTTTTGTATTTCACCTACAAAGGATTTATTTGTAGGTTTACCTGAACGACATTCGACTTGAGTTTTTTCATGCAGCATAGGGAAAGTCAGAAAGAGCTGAATGTAGGTGTTCTGCAGCCAATAAATAGCAATTTTTAAGGCTTCATGCATCATTTTTGTACTTCACTGTTTTGTTTAAAGAAGCCCAGTTTAGCTAGATTAGCCTGGGCAGATTGAGCTGTGTTTTAGGGCTTTTCCAGCTACCCTTACATTTATCACAAGTCCTTCACCACCTGCCACAACTCCTGTATGACTGGACTAGGTACAGTAGCACCTTTTACCTGTGCTTTTACCTCTTTTAGACACAATCTGATCAAGAAGGACTTGAAAGTAACTTTTTCCTAAGAAATACTTGAGTAAGGCAAGAAGCTCTTGGTTCTCTCCCTACTTAATTCATTTGCTGCTGCTGATCCCTCTTGGCTGGCTGACTAACTACAGTTAAATGCTTCTACATCAGTCCCCAGGTGACCCAACATATCCACCCACTTGCTTAAGGAAATGCACCCGTTTAGCCTTGCTAAGTTTCCACCCTTGAGAAAATGCATACCCTTAAATATTTTATCAGTGTGTGCAATATCAGGGAGTAAATTTGTGTTTCTGGTCTTGCCCTGGGTGTCCCCATGCCCCTGTATCCCACCTCGTGAGAAGGACTTGTCACTTCTTGAGCAGCCCCAGCAAGTGCAGGCTCTGCTCACAGAACTGTGTCTGCAGAGCTGGAGCTCAGGAGAACTTCATGTGAATCTGGAAAAGAGAAAGAAAAGGAAAGAAAAACTTTTTGCGGGAGAGGATATTTAATACAGAATTTCCCCAGTTAGTGCTACTCTCTTGCTTAGTAGCACCAAGACTTTACCTCTTTAGAATCTCTTTGGGAGCTGTTTCTCATTCCATGTTGGCTGTCCTCTGGTCAGCAGTGTTTGATAGCTTGGTTGCTTTTTTGAGGTGGATCCACAGGGAAAAAAGTCCTTTCTCAAAGAGCAGTATTTGATGCAGCACCCTAATTTCCAAGCCTATTTTCAGATGTGCCTTTTGAATTTTCTAACTGTGTATAGCTGAGTGTTTTGATAGTCTGTTTTGTGCATTTTAAATTGCACATGCCAGCAAAAAGGCTAAAGATTAAAAGACTTACTAACCTTCAGATAGTATGTGAAAAATGTTTCTCTTCAAAGGCAGCTTCACTCTGTGTTGTTATATCTGAAGAAAGAACCAGGCTGCACAAGTTTCAGTAGTTTTCTATTTTGTGCATAACTGAATAGTTCTATGCCATTAGAAAAGTAGTCAGTTTTAAGTACAATGTCAAAATGTCCCTTTGCATAAAGAAGTTGACAGTGATATTCTGTTGCCAAGTGCTTGGAATAACAAATATTCAATAGCTTTTAATTGCTTGACCACCTGAATATTTTGTGTCCTGCAACATGCCAAATTCTTGTAAAAATCCCTCGAATAATGTGTCCTGCACAGTCTTGCAGGATTTCTGATGTCAATTCTTCCCCTTGTCCCCAGTCTGGCAATGTTTCTGGATAATGTAGTCTTTCCAGCTTTTTCAGAGAGTATAAGTTTTATTCCTTTTTTTCCCCCACTCATTCTTTAAGAGCACTTATCCTGCCTCACAGCTGCCTGTTCTGCACCAAGATCTCAGCGTGTGTGAAAAAATGCTGTTCTATTGACTTCAGCAGGGAAATTACCACTGATAGCAGCAGCTGGCCAGGGGGAATTTAAACTGGCAATTTGACTTGCATCTGATTTTGCTCCAGCACCTCTGGAGTGTGACAATCCATGCTGCATGCATGAGAGTGAACACCAGAGCAATCCTACCACTTTTCTTAAATTTAGGCAAGTATGACAAAATTACTTGCAATACCCATCTTTGCTTGTTTTACTATAAGAAAAACCCACCTATCATTTCTGGTACTTTAAACTGCATAAACCCACAAAGCAATGTCTGTGTCTGTGATCCACAGAGTGGATCTGGGATGCAGTGAGGGCACAGTTCTGCCCCAGAAGATGCTGTACCTGCACTGTGGGCCACACAGCAGGTTGTCTCCTGAGTGGGCACCATAGGCATGGTCAGAGGTATTTTTTACACTGGAGTTAGAGTCAAGGTGGTGCCAGGGCCTAGGCAATTCCCAGAGGCCATGGTCTAGGAGCTGTTTGTGCATAATCCTGAAATAAACACACATCCCAGTAATCTGCTAGAGATTTCTCTGCACTCCAGACTTAAGTGCTATTAATTATATTCCCCACTCAGAAGTCTCCAAGAAGCATTAATTAGAAAGCAGGAGCTGGCAGTTTGCTTGTCTGTGTGAAACTCTTATGACCTGAGAATGAAGTATAAGCTTCAAAAGAAATACGTTTTATGAAGGTCACCTTGAAAAACATCATAACAATCTGTCAGAAGAGAATGCTGCACTCCAAGTGTACATTTCAGTGTGACATTATGCTTTAAGTAGTTGGAAATAGTAAAGAGAAGATGGATCAGATCATAGGGTCTGTAGTTTTCCACCCAAAATTCTCTCTTTACTGCTGTAAGTACATATATTGTTTTTGTCATTTCAATGGGATGCAAGGCAAGTTAATTATCAACACAAATCCAGCAAACATAATCTGGCCCTTGCTGGTATTTTTTAAGTGCAAAATATCCAGACCCTCCAACTCTGCAGCAAGGAGAAGGTTTATACACAGGAATTACTTTACCTCTTCAAGGGAAGGTGTAAAGAGCCAGAAGTGGTGCAGTGGCTGTACAGCAGTGACACCCAGACTAGAAATCTCAGGCCCAAAGGCTTCCCCAAATAAATGTGGTGTGCTAATGCACAGCAGCCTCAGTGTCGAGGCTGATTATTTTTATGGTTGCAGCATGTGATTATTTCTTATGAAAACAGAGCTACAGGAGAGCTCGCTGGAGTTATAAATGAAATGTCATCCTCTTGTGGGAGGCAATACTGTCCCACTCACACCCAGTCCAGGGCTCTGTTTTGAGGCTGGAAGTAGTACTGTCCTGAAAGTTATACACCTCATTCTCTGGACTTTCATTTCCCTATAGGTGGCCATTTAATTCAGCTGTCCAGTAGATGAATTCCATGCAGCACTGCTTGGATGCTGTAGTTATGGCTACAGTAGAAACATCAGGGCCAGAGACACAGAAATGATTGTACAGCAGAAATGCAAAGCAGCAAATGCGTTGCTGTTGGTGAAGAAAGCTGACAGCCAAATGTTAACCTGCACATCCAGCAGCCTGAATGCCTACCTGGGCTGTCTGTCAAAATCAAATATTGTCAATGTGATCAGTTCTTGATTCATCATTGGCTTTGTGTGTCACACTGTGCAAGAGGAAAATGGGGAAAGCCGAGCATAAGTGGTGGACGTTTGTCACAGGACCTGGGGTAAAAGAGCTGAGGTGCAGGACAATGCTGAGCTTCCAATAAGGATGATATCAACTGTGACTAGGTATTTTTACACCCAAACCTCTGCTAAGATGGTGCTAATCTCTTGCCCCCAAAGCTGCCAGAGGATGCTCTTAGGGAGCAGCCAGACCCTCCTTGAAGCAGATTCACAAAATAATGCCAAGTGATTCACAGGCTGCCATCGAACTGTCAGTCAGGAGGGGCTTACAATGGAAACTGTTGCTCAAAATGTCGTGGGAATAGGAAACATATGTTCCAGTGAGAAAAGACAATCAAACAAAGAAGTGGGAGGCTGGGGAATTGCAGCCACAACAGCAGCAAGAGCCGAGCCTTGCCTGCAGCCCTGGGAGCGAGTTCAGGGGCCGTGCCCTCGTCTAACACTTGGGTAACAGCTCTGTGCTTAATAAGCTGAGATAATTTTCCCAGTATTGAAGCCAGCTCTAAAGATGTTCTGAAGTGAAGGTACAAAACTGAAGATACCAAGCCAAAAGCCCATTTCATGCTCAATTATTAGCGAAGGTTTGTATCGTGGTATCCTGTTGCTGTAGCTGCTGCACAATAGAAGTGCCCAGAGAGACACTGGAACCAGCAGCTCGAACACGACCTCAAAGCTCGAGCACTGCCTTTGTGTGAGTGTCGGTATCGAGGCTGTGTAGGTGGAAAGGCATTAATAACTCCTCCAGTAAGTAGTTATTTGAGAAAGGAAGGGGTGATGGATGTTGGAAATATGTTGGACTGAGTGTACTTGAGGCTCTGTTTTTTGCCAAGATGTCAGTCTCTACACAAAAGCAGAAGTATTGCAGGGATAAACTCGAATCCCGATTTGTGTCAGCACCTGGGGCTGCTGCAAGCCTCCAGCTACACTGCAGTAGTAACTGTGCCATGTTTGTGCAAGGATTTCACACACAGCTTCTACAGCTGCCAGGTTCTCAGCATTTCTGTTTCTCTGCTTCAGGAACTCCCTTCCACATCTGTCATGGCACCTATTACAGGTTTTTTACTAGGATGGACCACCAAGAGATGCATAAACTGGAGCAGACATGGCAAGAAATGCCCCATTCATTCTCCAGTGTGTGAGGCTGGAGGCATGTTCAGGGTGATGGTCCCAAATCACTGGTGTGTAATTCCTTGGCATTAGGCAGAGTCCCACCACAGGGTCAGGATGGATGAGGATATACCAGAGATGACAGTCTTGAAAGATTATTTGTAGGAGCTTATATAAGAGATCACGAGCCCCTAAGAGTCTTGCATGGGGTTATTATAGCAAAATAGATTTGAAGAGTAAGAAGCTGGATTTGATGACACAAGATGCCCTTTCTAATCCTTTGTTCCTATGAGGAGCGGTCAACAGAGCTGGAAACTGTGCTGTCTTACTCAGGGACATCAGAGAGGTGGCCTCACTTCATGTTTGTTTTTTGTAAAATGATCCTGACCTCTGTCCAAGGGTGCTTTGTGAGTTAGGAATGAAAAGCACAATGTGAAAGGCAGGCATTAGTATTATTTGCAAGTGCAGTTTATTGAAAAAGCAGATAATAAATCAGACTAATCTCTTTCTTGCTCTGGTAAATAATTTTAAAATAGTTGTGTGCAAGGCTTTTCTCCTTCCTCTGTTGCAAGGGCTGTAATAGGAGCTGCAAAGTGCTGTGTGGGGGTTTAACACCAAACATTTCCTTTTGCCTATTGCTGTCAGTGACTCCTGTCAGAATACACTAATGAGCACCTAAGTCGTTAGTAATAAACAGCCTCACATTTTGTCTTACTAACAAAGATCAAAGCTGCTATTATATGTAATGATCTGTTATGTTTGATGTTTCTCAGGTAACAAAGTGTTTGGAACACATCCCATGACACCAGAAAGTCCCCAGAAAGAACGACCTCATTCTCCAGTTCTCAGTGGCCCTGGAGCTGCAGTTTGACAATTTTATTATGTTCTACAAATATGGGATTCTTCCATGAAAAATTTTATTGGACCTTTGGATATCATCAAGGTTGAATTCCAGCTAAGACAACTAAACAGCACTGGTTCAAAATATTGCTCTGAATTGTAACTCATATTTTTCTGAATTGTGTACTTGGGAATGAATCTTTTTAAATTGTCCCTTGGCCTAAATAGAAATAAAGTGCCAGGAAAATCAGGTAGCTACTGTGTTTAGGTACATTATAAAGTGCTTACTCCATGTTGTGCTCTTTGATTCAGTTATTGTATGTAGGCTATTTTATCATAGAAAAATTAGATCTTTTAGTAGTGTAGCAATTCATAAAAACTAAGACTTTTTTTACAGACTAGCCAAGATAAATTTGGAAAGCTGTTTTTTCTTCAGATTGGTTCTATAACAAGAAATATTAAGCTTCCTGAGATCTTTCTTTTCTCTGTTCTTTTAATGCATTATGACAAAGCTTCTGGAGATTTAAGTGATACAAAACACTTCAGTAAAACAACTAATATGTAAAGTTTCTCATGGGATAGTAATCACAGTAGGGTTAGACTGGCACAAATAACAAGTGGGAGCCTCCCACGTGGAACAATCTCTCAGCAAGAAATGCTGTGTTCAGAGCCCTGCACAGGAAGAAACCCACCATGAGTTAGTTGTTGATTGCTAACACATGACACAGGAAAAGATGTCACACAACAGATGGAAGAGAGAAGAAATAAGTCCGTAAGATTTGCGTGAAAAGAGCACCAATAATCCTCTGGAACTGCAGGGAAGCAAACAACCAAAGCTTTCTGTGTGCCCCAAGCTCAGGATGAAAAACAAAATGCCCCAAGTCCTTCAATAAGAGTCATGCTGAGGGAGGCCATAGGGTGCAGAGCCTACCTGAGGGCTTGAGGAGGTCACGGCCAGGTCCAAGCCAGAGCCTGGCAGAGCTTTGCCTGCCTGGCAGCACAGTGTGATCACGTTCAGGACATATTGAACTGCTCCATGATTGTCTGTCCTGGAGGGTTACAGCCTGACCTGAGGAGTATGAAAATGCACAATCAATGGGCTCTCATCATTTTCACCAGGTCTCTCTCTGCTCTGTACTGCAGAGACATTCAATCCATTGGCTTGAAGTCCTTATGCTTGTCAAATATAAATAGAAATAGTAGAGCAAAATCACTGATGTTTAATTCCAGTTTTTACTGTCATGCTATTTAAATATTGCTCCTGAAAACCACTTTGATTCAAAGACTTACCATGACCCAGTGTGGCCCCCAATATCTTCCATTAGCTCTTTTTAAAACTGTACAGATTGTAACACTATTTCTTTTTCTGTGCAGAGTAAATGAAAAGTCTATTGTGATGGTGTCTGCACTTTTTTAGACCCTGAGCAAGGGCTGAATAAACAGGAAATGAAGGTCAGGGAGCAAGAAGCAACAGAGAAGGTAAGCTGAGAAGAGAGAATGGTCAAAAATGCTGGCAAATGGGCCAACATAAACGGTTGTCCTTTTGCATTTTAGCATTTCAAGTAGCTGTGATTTCACATAGAAGGAAGACAATGGTTGTGTTGCTGGGGAACACTAAAAGAAAAACCTTAGCATCAGTTACATTTGCAAGGCAGCTTCAAACCTGGTGCTCAATGGCTTCCTCTTTATTATGGAATATTCTGTATTAACTCCGTGGCTGTGATGAGCGGGCTCTGTGCCAACCATTCTGCATGGGGGCTGCAGAGCAGATGAGTGCTGAGCTCCATGGAAGATTTCATTTGTGTAAATGAGGAGGCCGTTATCACAGCACTAAAGGTCCTGTTTTTAAAAAAGGCCTCCTGTGACATTATGCACAAAACAACCTATTTATGCAGCATGAAAATATTTATGTGCTTCGCTCCAGCTTAAAAAGGGAATTTGCAATAGATGAGGGACATGAGAAAGGATTGGAGTGAGAGATAAGGAGAGATTAGAAAAGGCAGATCATGAAGTACATGACATCCTGCAGCAGTATGTGGAGTAAGCCCTTGCGGATTTTTTGAGATATGGACCTTGAAGATGGTGCCTGGATCATTTATAAACTTCTTGCAGACTTAATTTTCCACAGGCAGGGAGCTGTAAGCAGAGATGCTGCTGCTGGAAATGTGAGGAGATGCTGTGCTAAAGACACTGATGGCCTTTGTAACCATCTTTGTCCTTTCAGCCTTCATCTCTTGCCCTCATGGGAGTTGTACCTTTGGGCCAGGGAATGCTACAGTGCTGAGCTCCCTCACACAAAGCAGAAAACACAGGAAAAATCACCTGTGCAGGGGCTCATATGGCACAAGAGGAGTGGTCCCAATGGGGTGGCTTCATAACAGGACAGAGCTCGGACTCTCATTCCCTGTCCTTACACAGAGGAAAATTTCCCAGATTTTTTCAATTCCTAAGAGTTTTTCCTGAAGCAGCAGTTCCTCTGAAGGGCTGTGCCTGTGTGCCTCTTTTTCCACGAGTAAACCAGATATGGTTCAGCCACAATTCTCCTCACTGACTTGCAGGAGCAGGCTGGGAGCTCCACAAGTTCCCTGACTGCCCTGGAACAGAAATTGCAGAAGAGTTGTCTCAGGACACACACAGAAGAACAGACAGGTTATTGGGAGCACACATCTGATGGGGACACCTCAGCCCATGCATCCTCTTCCTGCCAGGCAGCCCAAGTGCTCTCAGCAAAGGCTGTGAGTGCAGCATGGGGATGTTTGTTATTTGTCTTTCAGCAGGTCAGCATTGTTCTTGCTCCAGATGCAGATGTACCAGCTCCAGTTCTCCACGGGACAGCTGATGCCACCCCAGGCAGCTCAAAATGGTTGTGTGCTGACAGATCAATGGGCTGGGGATGGGCTGTGTCAGCTTCTTGAAGACTTTGTGTATTAATTCAGAAATCTATGCTGCTTCTAACCTCCCCCAGCATACATTCACCCACCCCCCAGGTATCAGGCTCTCTTTTGATTCTGTACTCAAATAAGCCAGTGGGGCTTTTTTAATTAATGCTAATTTAGAGAAGGGAGAATGTTCTGTTGGTCTCTGTGGGAGCCTGACTGGGCTGCAGGCTGATGCTAAGACAGGTGCAAAGGGGGGAGTCAAGGTCAGCTCCTGGCCTGTGACAGTACCCTGAAATGTGGCCAGGGACTGAGCACTCCTGAAATAAAAATACCTGAATCCGTGTGGGATCTGGGGTGATCTCATACCCAGCTGTAAAGCAATAAAAATCTTAATGCCCCACTACCCACAGAGCTAATGAAAAGCTCTCAAGCCCAAATACACACATAGTGACAGCCATGAAAGTACCAAAATAATTTCTATGCCAGCTCTCTGTGTCCTCCTATCCACTCCCCACCTCTCACTGTCACTGTGGTCGATGGCTGCTGAAAAGCCTTGTCCGATTCCCACATCTGGTTCCTGACGTGCAGGCCAAGCAACTCTGTGAAGGAGAAAATGCTGCTGCTCGTGTAAGCTGTCCTGTGTGTTGGCAGGGCTGTGAGTTTCAGAACAGAGTGATATATTTCAGCTCTTGTGAAATTTCTGAATAATCAGCTCATCAAAAAATATCATGCAGAGTTCTCTTGTAGTCCTTTCCAACTTGCCACCTCTCCTTCCAATAGCTCCGTAGGGTGACCACAGCTTGGCAGAGCCCATTAGCAGAGCTCTGCACAATCACTCGTGAGTAGAGCTGGCTGGAAAATACAATGTTCCCTCCTGAAAAAAAAGAAAAAAAGAAAAAAGATGAGTTGGGGCAGAGGGTGTGTTTGGCATGGCATTTCAGGATGATTTTCCCCACTTCTCTCTCCAGAACCCTCTTCTGCTCCCCCATTGCACCTCACCCTTTTTCCTCCTTTAGAAGATGACTCCAAGAAAATAAAAATTCAGCTTAAAGTGGCAAAGACATTGGATGCTGTTCGATATGCTGGTGACTCCTCCTGGCCCCAAGGGCTAGGAGTGTCCCTGCAGGATGGCACCTTTTCCACTGGAGACTCCTGAGCAAGTTGTCCTCGGACCTGCACATTTTGCCTCAAGTACCTAATTTCTTCTTTGGAGTTTCTTGAGAAGATATTCTCAAAATATATTTCTCTCCTTGAGCAGCACAGCAACCTGCTGTTTGGGCATGTGGGAGCTGCTGACCTTGTCTCTGTGCACGGTGAGATGGGGAATGCTGGAAGGACCTGAGGGAAACCTGACGAGCAGTGCTGCAGAGACAAGGGGCTGAGCAGCCAGAGTCACTTCAGCTGCTCCTCACAGTCCTGGGCTGCCTCCAGGCATGCCTCCCTGTGCTTTCCCATTCATTTTAGACACCTGTTTCCAAGTCCCAGGTGATCATTGCTTTGGCTGGGAAGAGCAGAGTTCCTCTGTGTCCTCCAACGATGCTCAGCTGCTGACACTGTGGGGAGGAGGCCAGGCTGGCTGCAGACCCCCTTAGGGCAGGTGGAAACAAGTCCTGCAGACGAAGGTGATGCAAAAATCAATGGTTAGTGGGTTAGGATTAAAGCTGTGGCATGAAAGCCTTGTACAACTGAGATTATTGTGTTTCCTAGGTCTGTGGTAGCTGCACTGACTGTGGCACTTGGTGCAACATGGCTTTAGTGCTTGTGTCACATTGCAAGCCCCTGTGTGGAGCACAGCTGCATCCCTCAGGGAGCAAAGGCTCCAGCACGGATTTCCTGGACTGTCTGTGCCCTCTTGGATCTGCCTCGACCTGGCCACAGCTGCCGAGCATTTGCTCTGTCCCTCTCTCCTTGTGTCACCATATCTTTCTGCTCAGGCTTTTGTCATTTCTTTTGTCACCATAGTGACAGGAAAAGAGTGATGATTGCTGGAGTAATTTCCCATATTAGCTAGCACTGGCTTTTCAGCCTAAATCAGTGCTTCATTTTCCCTGTGCTCTGGCTGAACATCACTGGAGCATCATTAAGGAGTGATGGCAGAGGGGCCTTGATGTGCTGTGGTCCTGCCAGTGCTCCTCTGGGACGGCCAAGGCAGGGCCTTCAGGTCACCTCACGTCCCACCAAGAACGCAGAGAGAAGGGGAAGACAAGAAAATATATTTGCAAAGGTTTCTCCCTGAGTGCTCAGTCTCATGGTGAATAAAAGCAGGAATTTGGGCACTTCCATCTGTCCTGGGGGATGTGCCTGTCTGCAGGGCAATAGGAAGAGCTCTCCAGAGGGTAACTGCCCTCCCTGACTGATGTAGTGAGTGGGAAAATATCCCCCCTGTGCCCCCAGTCTGTGCCCTCTGCTCTGCACAGCCCCTTGCAGCACAGCCCAAACCTGGGCTGGGACCAAACCTGGCCTCCCAAGGGGGTGGCTCAGTGCAAAGTCCTGCTCTCCCCCAGGCCTTATCAGCCATGCAGTGCATCTCAGAGAGACACCCAGCACACACACACAAATACATACTTAAAAATCAAGATCATTAAGTAAGCAAATGTGTTTAAATATCAAACAAGCTACTGAAAAGCAGAGAAAGGTCACAAAATGTGAAATGAAAGCAGAGCTGGTCCTGCCTCAGAGGATATATTAAGAAGAGTCAACCTTCATTTTGAGCATGCTGCTTTTTGTCCTTCTATCACAACATTAACATTATCCCCACATAATTTTATGTATTTAATTTTACAATAGACTGTGTCAGTGAGAACTGCCTGTAAATATTTGATCACCACCGTTCCTCTAGGATTATCTTATCAAGAGTAAAGATATTAAAATAGAAATCTTGTCATATTGCTGCCTTTATACTTCCAGCCTAAGAGTTGATTGACAGAAAATGAACTGCCCGAACTAGCTGTAAAGTGTCTTTTCACTGAGAGTTTTAATGCCAGAGGCTAGAGAAAAAATGGTTAGCTAGTGATTGGAAACTTATGCCTTGCTGTAGTTATGGAGCTTTTGTACTGAAGATTAAAAAATATGAACCTACTAGGGGTATTTTTGCAAGTGTAAAATGGCGTTGGTCCTTTTGTATCTTTTTGCCATCACTAATGAGCCTTAAAAAGAGCCTTTCCTTTTTTTCCCTGCACTTGAATATTAGATGCAGTTTCACTGCAGCTCACAGACACAGACTGAAGTTTTGCAAGAATAAGCTCTTGATTTACCTAACGTACAAAATTTCTTTTTGGTGATAAAATGGCTTGCAAGCCAGGACTAAATATTCTTGTCTAGCTTGGAATATCAAACCACTGTAGACAAGTCAAGGTTTCTATTCATGGCCAGTTAAAGACACACCGGTAATGCTGTTTTAATGTTACAAAATTGTGCTGAAATTGTCATGTGTCTGAAGAGCACCGTGCTGCAAATATACAGCTGGTCCCTGAGGGCTCACTCAGCCTGTGCTCCAGCACGGATCAATGAGAGTTTTTGCTGGAGTAAGGACCCAAGTGCCAATTCAGGAAGGTACAGCATGAGCAAACTTTAATCACAAGCTTAGAAATCAATAAAGACAGAAGCTGGCTGGGGTGAGGGGACAGGGAGGGGTGTGGGTCCCATATTTCTGCAGCTCCTGCATGCATGTGGGCGCTGGGGCAACAGTTCCTGGCATCCTGAATAAATCTGGCTTTGTCCTGGTCCTGGAGGGCAGGAAGGGGTGGTTAGTTCACAGATGTGTCCCATTGCAATGACAAACTGTAGCCACCTGCATTGAATTCCCCAAAGTCTTCCAGGCATTAACAAAAGTGTTATTGTGGGATGGCTGAGGTTGCTGTGGCTAGAGACAGCAACCTGGAGCATTCTGCTTTAGCCAGAGCATCCCTCCCACTATTTTCCCCTCCAATATGAACAATAACTGCATGAAATGAAACTAATTTCACGTCCAGCAGCCCATTGTTGAGCTGTCATAAAGGGATTTTCATGGGTGGCTTCATTAACAGCAATGGGTGGTCCCCTCCATGGTCTCGATGGGCTCAGAATGTAGAGAAGCTTGTTCTAACATTTCACTCATGAGAAAGGTCAAGAGCTGTGCTTTTTGTTCGGAGTGCTCAATATATTCAATTAAAATATACTGCTGTGTTCATCAGCTATTAACTGTCTTTGCAATAGCTGTAATTAAGCAGGTACTTCCCTGTGAAAGGAAATCTTTCAAGACAAATTCTGGCATGGGGAGAGAAGAGAGTGGGAATTTCTCCAGTGTGGGTTTGCTTTGTGTCTCCACATCAATCCCTCAGCCACAGGGTGTTTTCCTTTCCCTGTTGTTGGAGCAAGGATGATGCAGAGGTGATGGGCTGGCCAGATCCAGGTCCTGGCACATCCCTTCACTGGGGGTGAGCTGAATATCCAGTGCTGGATGCTTGGCAACCATGGGGGAATAAAACCAGTCAGGCAATTTCCTCAACCAGGCAAATCACTTGCAGAAACATCATTTACAAAGTTCCACTTAGAGCCTCAGGGATAAGAAATAGAGAATGAGAGGAGTCAGCTGCTCAGGAGAGTTTAACAAACTCAGAGATTTTAGAGAGTTTAGCAGCTGGTGGCTTCCAATGCAATAGGTAGAAGAGTCAAAAGCCACACACCCTGCTTTGAAAACTTCCTCCAAAAAGCCTGAAATAAAGAAAAACCCCAAAAGGCAGACTAAAGGAAAGCAGAGGAAAGATCTGAAGGAAGCAAAAAGAAATTACCTGAGCCAACTGTTCTAATTATATACACACAGCAGTCAAACAGTGATAGCAATTGTTGGCACTCTTAAGATGGATAGCAGGGAAATGGAGATACAGTGGAAAATAACACATATTAAGGAATTAGTATTTGATTATGCTAAAGAAGGGGGTGTGTATTTACATTAGTCAGAAATCAGGCATGCAGAGAGATGGGTGACAGCAGGGAGAAGTGTAGCAAGAAAACCAGAGTGTGGTTGTGACAGGTTTCCCTGGTAGCTGTGAACAAGGGGGTGCTGAGCCAGGCGTGATACCACCAGCATTGCTTGATTATGTCACAGCTTTTTGCATCTGACAGCATCCAACACGCAGCTGCAGAAGCCTCCAGGCACAGGGATGGAGCAGGGCACGAGGAAATTCAGAGCCTTGGTCACCACGTGTGAGAAACTGAGTGTGCTCCCTCTTGCCATGGGGCTTGGGGGACAGTGGAGTGCCTGTTACCATGCTGTACTAGTTGGTTTTGACCTCCTGTGTGTTCATGGTCTTTCACTAAAATATTCCAAAGCTCCTTGCTGGAGGTTTTGGCTCCTCTGCTATCATCCCCACTAGGTTCCCTCAGCAAACGCCCCTGTTCCTCTGCTGAGGCCATTAATGCAGATAGAGAGTGATCAAAGTAAGCAGCCCAGTCCTTGAAAAAGCTCTCTTACCATTACTGGGCCCTATTAGCCAATTCCTCACCTATTTCTGAGTTATTTAATTAATCCCATCTTCTCCAGCACGACTTACACTGTTAGATATTCAGAGCACAAAGGCAGGGGATTCACTGAAATCCTGGAGGAGGAGAACTGTTGGATTTCCTTTATCTACAAGATCAGTTAGGGATTTTAGGTTAATCTTGCTTTATAAATCATGTTGCATTTTATCCCATTTGCCTTCATGTCTCTGTAAATGGCCTTTCTCTCAGAAAAATGTCACCAAGCTCTGAGTACTGGACCCTGACCACTCAGCAAGCCCTTCTTAAATACCTGCACGACATGGAACACACTCCTTGTACACAATCCCACCCCTGAGCTAACAAGATGGTCAAGCATCCACCTTGAAAACTACAGGAGAAAGACTGCCCATTCTCTGCTGTTTGGAACCCAAGCCTGCTCCTTAGGGGCCCAATAAACCCAGAAAACTATGTAAATACCCAAAAAATGTCCTGTTGCCAGTTCCTGCTGGTTGATCAGAAGCTATAAAACCCAGCTCATCATGGGGTCATGTGTTTAAGATTTCATTTCTGCATATCTTTCTTAACCTCCGATTTTGCATTCAGTCCCTTTCCAATGCTGCCTTTAGCCCATGCTCCAAATCTTCCTCCTCATCCAAAAGCCAGTATTTTTCCTGCTTTCAGGAAGAGGCCACATAACCTGTCCCTATACTCCTGCCCTGTGGTTTGAGCCAGCAGCCCTCCAGTCTGCTCTCCTTGGTCTTTCTCATGCCCTGTGATTGTAGAAGTTGTGCATTTGAATTGTCTTTCCAAGGTTTAAATCTAAACATATGTCCTTTCATCCATCCCTTCCTGACTTATTCACACAGCTCACTTTATTGCCAAAGCTTCTTTCATTATGCCACTTAGATTCTGCTAATTCTCAGTCTATTTAAGAAGATATTTTTCATCCAATTCTGCTTCCAGTTCCTTGCTAGAAGTTTTTTCCTTTTAAAGTGATCTGGAGCAGGTGGGGACCTGCTTGCTGTGCAACGATGCAGATGGTGGAGTTGCAAAGCTCCTTGGGTGGTCAAGCGCTTTATAAATTTCAAGCCAGAGATATTAAAAAAAAAAAAAAAAAAAAAAAGGCTAAAAGGAAAGTCTTTCCAGGGAGCACAAAATCAACATAGCAGCTTTGGCTGGCTGTGTGTAGGGAAGAATGTTGCACTGCCTTGAGCTGCCCAGGTGTGTGTGTCCCAGCTGAGTTTTCCAGGTACTGCCCCATCCTCAGTCTACTG